CAGAGTACAGTAAGGACAGTTGTCACCAAGCTCGATGACCTGTTTCATCACTGGTATCTATACAGTAGGAGAGAACCGACTCTTTCAGGTTATCCTCTGGCCTCCACACACAGACCACAGCATGCACACCTACACCCCACCTGCACCTGCCTATACCCCACCTGCATCTACCTACATCCACCTACACCCCACCTGCACCCGCCTATACCCCACCTGCATATACCTACACCTACCTGCACCCACCTGCACCCACCTACATCTACCTACACCTCACCTACACCCCACCTGCACCCGCCTATACCCCACCTGCATCTACCTACATCCACCTATACCCCACCTGCACCCACGTACATCCAACTACACCCCACCTACATCTACCTACACCCCACCTGCACCTGCATCCACCTACATCCAAATACACCCCACCTACATCTATCTACACCCCACCTACACCTGCCTATACCCCACCTGCATCCACCTACATCCAAATACATCCCACCTACACCTCACCTACATCTACCTATACCCCACCTACACCCACCTGCACCCACCTGCATCTCACCTACACTCCACCTACACCCCAAATCAGTGTGATTTAAACATCTTTTAAAAGAAGGTCTGCTTATCATCTATCTTCTCCATCAGAGCCCGAGCTCGAGACTAGAGACTGTCATATTTATCCCATGACCTCTGCATCTGGCATATACGACCTCAGCAGCCATGCATCAAATGGTTGATGCATCAAATTTTTGACAAGATGGGAAAACAGCATTGCTTGGACATCACGGTCTTCTTGGATCTGGAGACCAACCTATCCAGCCTGCGGATAAGTCCAACCCTGACAGCAACTACATCGTCTGGGGGAATTTATAAGGAAACACCATGTCATCCAATCAAACTAGCTCTCCTCTGAAACCAAGGCTGTATCCCCCGCCCCAGTGAAAGCTCCTCAGCCTTATTCTCCTGGATGGACTGATGTTTTCTGATGGCAATAACGAGCAGAAACAGACTGAGCCCTCGTCCCACGTGGCTGCAGTAAATGCATCAGAAACACATTGCCCATCTCAGAGTGAAGCTTGGAGGCCCGAGGCAGCCACAGAAGAAAACCGAGGTTGACAGCTCCCAGTTAAAGAGCCTGATATTCTATAAATGAAAAAAGGCCAGCTGCCTGTCCCGTCACCACTGAACTCGGTAAACGAGTTATCCGGGCCTTCTGTTATTTTTCAGACTGGGAACTCCTAATGATATCTGTTTGGGCAACTCTAAACTTCATTTGTCAAAAAAAAAAAAAAAATCTCCAATTTACTGAATCTGAAGTTTTTTTTCTCTCTAGGTCTTAAATTGTTGAGTGCTTTACAAAGCTTGTTTCTCTCTATTTATTTCTATAAGAGCCATTTTATCTTGACTAACTCCTTAAAACTCTCTCAAGGCCCCACACCTGAGGACACAGAGGTGTTTTTGCCCAGTTTTCCATGAACCCGATGGGGGCCGTGCCTTTGTCTCTGCCTGCACTGAATCCAGCCACTCTCTTCACGCTGCCTGATGGGCTTTCGCACTCTGCCAAGACTCCTTCCGGCCTTGCTGCAGAGATGAACTCTTCCGGGACAACTTCCTCCTCTGAGTAGCTAATCACTCCCTTTCCCACCTCCTCAACATTTCAAACAAATGTCGACAGTAAACACCCGCGATGCCACATTGTAACTATTGACTTAGGTGTCCTCACTGGACTAAGAGAGCCCCTCAAGTGGAAATTACATTTCATTCAAAGCTGTATCCCCCGTGCCACTCTAGTCCTTGGCTTACAGAGGACACACATTTGTTTGTTGACGGAATGAATGAAAATAAGGAGACTTGGTCCCAACCCAAAGGACCAGGACTTGAAACTTTGATTTAACCACTGGGAAAGGATCAATACGCCTCTGGAGCGGATCCTAAAAGGTATGGCTCCTCCAGCGACTCAACACGTGTATTTAGACAGAGAGCACCTGGCTCACAGGTAACTCAGAGGGCTAGGAACTCCCTGTCCATCCCAGGAACAACCCTTTCTTTTTTAACCATCTGGAGGCCCCACAAGTGCCTCTCAGCAGGCGGGGGAGCCACCAGCCCCGAGCTGGCTGCAGCCTCCTCCCCTCCACAGGCTCATCATAGCAGCTCCATTAGCATCCATGAAAATTCTGCTCATGCCTCAAGGAGAGAACAGCCACCAACAACACAGCTGCTTCCCCAACCTCCGAGGTACATCTCTAAAACCATCTTACTCTCCGGCTATCACCGCTGAAGCCTTTCAGGCAGAAGGCAGTATGTTCTCAACTCACTCTGGCTCCGAAGTTAGAACTCTTGGTTGTTTATAAATGAGGCCTCCAGCTTCTCCTTCCCCACTTCTCCAGTGAGCCAGTTACCGCCACGACTGAGTCAAATGCTTTAGCATGGCTCTTGCCTCTTTCTACCTAGCATGTCGTCTCCAGGTTAGTTAGATACCTGCCACTCACCAGTCGCTTTTATGTCTGGGGCTTTTCATACTTGGCTTTCTCTGCAGGGTATGCACCTCAATTCCCCAGTGAATGACTCTTTCCTTTAGAGTCCCGTGCAGGTATTCCTTCCTCCAGAAAGTATTCCCTGATTTGATCAGTCGCTGCCCCTGTATGGCCACAGCCAGTCATTCAACTATACAACCGACAGCTATGGGCGCCTGGCTTGCAGCAGGCTCTGTTCCAGGTGTTGGAGACTCAGCAGGCTAAAGTATTACAAAATGTTTGAAGGAAAGAGGAATTGTACTTACGGGCACCAATGAAGGCATTTGCTAAAGGGATGTGGAGACTTGAGTCCATTAGGGTAGGAACACTGATGGTTAGAACTGTAAGTGCAAAGGCCCTGGGACAGAGACAGACTTGGAATATGTGTGGAAATGGGACTGAGGTCATGGGAGTGGGTACGTGATACGCGCTTGTTTGTCATTCAGGCCAATGAAGCCCGAGAAAGGGAATGTGGGGAAGGAGGTCAAAGAGTCATCCAGGAGCAAGGCCCTGTAACACACGGAAGAGGGTTACAATTTTACAGCAGACAAAATGGAAGCCTCTGGGTTTCAGCACAGGAGGGAGATGCTTTGCTTTACACCTTTATCCCATCCCAGCTCCCGGGGATAACAGACTGCAGGGGACCAGAAAGGGCAGACATCTGACCTTACATCTAGCCCACAAATATTGACTGGCCAGACTGTGGACGAGTCTTATTCCAGGCACTGAAGACAGGATTTCTAGCAGCAAGGAAGACTCAGTGCAGGGGGAGACAGAATCATAAGCTCAACCACAGAACCCATGCCTAGTCTAGAACAGAACACGGGAAAGGGGCCAGGCATGGAGCCAGGCAGAGGAGCATTCCAGAAGGGCAAAGGGCCTGTGAGGACCTCAGTTGCTTCAAGAAACCTGGCAGGGAGAAGACCAGCAGTCTCCAGCCCGACGTGGGAGGATGGAGCAGAGGAGCTCAAGAGAGGGACCGAAGCCAGCCCTGCCAGCAGCACCGAGATGCTTGGGGTTTCCCCTGCAGGTGACAGAGATCCTGATGGGCTTCGCTGGGGGGCGGATGCTGGGGTTCCCAACTTTGATGTATGAGTTTATTTACTGTAGAGGGGCAAATCTGGAGAGGGCAAGACAGGAGGCTATTTAGTCATCTGGGCAAAAAGAGGAGAAAATCCCGAGGAATTAGCTACGGAGACAGAGGAGTCTAAATATGTTCAGCAGCAAAACCGTCAGGACTGCAGGGGGAAACTGTGTGCAGCAGGCTGGTCCCCAGGTTTGTAGCTGGGGTGGGTGGCTTGCCACAATGCCAACTGAGAGAAGGCATGTTATACCATACATGTTCCTGGGGGGCACTGAGGAGGTATCTGAAACCTGAGGAAAAGTTCATGGAGAGCCTAGTCTACACAGCAAGTGGCTGAAGATACGATCTGGGAATGCCACCAGCAGAGAGGTGATGCTTGAAACTGACTCGATACAATCAAGACACACAGGCCATCAGGTGTGGCTTCTGGCTCAGACCAGTCATCACTACCTGTAACCCCGAGGAAGTCGGTGCACCTCTCCGAGATTTGCTTTCCTCACCTTTGGTTGGGGATTTTCTTTTTGTAAAATGTTGCCGGAGCTCTGGGCACATGGTAGGTGCTTGGCTATTAACTAGAATCAGTAGTCACCGGTGATGGGGAAACGGAACAAGACGCTTCCGCTGTGTGAGTGAGCCCAGGTTTCACCTGTAGCCAGTGCTGGGCATCTACTGGTAGTGGCTTAGTGCTTAGCAAACGGGTATCACATGTGACTAAGTCTGGACCACTAAGAAAACAAGAGAAATCACAGGACCGAAGAATTAACAAGACCCCATCAATCCTCTTGGACCGAGCAACACTTGCGAGGCAGAATGCCATCGGCCCCTGCCTTCCGCCCACCCCCCTCTCCTCTGAGCATTCATGGCTCCCTTCCTCCGCCCCTTTCCTTCATCCTGAAAATGTGCTTCCACACACTTTAGTGTACAGCCTCCCTGGGGTCCTGCTACCTCCCTCAGAGTCTGCGTATGTGTGTGTATATACATGTTTGTGTGTGTTTGGAGACAGGGTCTCGCTATGTAGCTCTGGCTGCTCTGGAACTTACTCCGCAGACTGGCCTGAGCTCACAGAAACACACCAGCCTCTGCTACCAAAGTGCTGGGATAAAGGTGTGCGCTGCCACATCCAGCCTGTTCCACCACTTACTACCCTCTCCCACCCAGAATGACCTTTGCTTTGCTATCCACTCTCCTTTTTTTGCTTCAAGAGCTTCTTTCGTCCTCTTCCAGTTTTTATTTTGTTTTCCAGACAACCTTGCTACGTAGCTGTGGCTGGCTTGGTACTCTCTACATAGCCTAAACTGGCCTCAAACTCATGGCGATCCCTCTGCCTCAGGCTCCTGAATGCTGGGATTACAAACACAGCCACCGTGCTCAGTCCTGAAGCGCTCAATAAGGAACTACACTTGTTTTAGTGTATCCGTTTATTATACCTTTTAAAGAGCGAGGACACTCTCCGTGACCACCCAAGCAGGCTTGCAGAGACATATTTCATTGACAATCTTCACGTGTGCATCTTTCCCTACCGCAGGAAGTCACTGCGAGAGGAATTTCATTATGCATTTTCTGCAGAGCCTGTATTCAAATAAACCCCGAGGTGCGGGAAGCTTCAGGCCAGCGTCTCATTAAAAGCCCCAGCATGGGGGCTCAGGAGCCCATCCCGGAAGGTCTTCCAGGGAGAGCTGAAAGGCTCAGATAAGTGAGCGCTGGCAAGCAGGGCTGGTCTCAGGCTCCAGTGGGCTCACCCCTGGGGTTGAGCAAAGAGAAGAGACAGGGGAGTTCTGAGAGGCACCGGAGCTGTCTAAACTCAGGGGGATGGAACTGAGTGAGCGGCAGCCGTAATTGAGTTTCAGTTACCTGCAGGGTGGCGAAATAAAGTGGTAACTTCATCTGCCTGCCATGGGGGAGTTTAGAGGTGTCCTTGGCAAGCTCACAGTGAAACCTGTCACCCTTCCATTGTGTTGGGTGAAGGCAACTGGATGGCCCATCCTCGTGACAGCCGCGTGCATCCAGTCAGGCAGGCCGAAAGACAGCTAATGAAGCCGCTCCCACGGGCCTGTCTCCCAGGGCTCCCCGCATTCTGTCTGAAGGAATGGCACCATGGGTATATCCAGCACAGCCGACACCCGCATCACCCAAACTCAAAGAGTCTTTGAGTGGCGGCGCGAGGCCCAGCGCTGGGCCCATCATCGGGTCACTTTTTGTGGGTCTGTACAAACGTGCCGACCGGCAGCGTCCCGCTCTTCACCTGCTCCCGGATCTCAGCTCGGTGCTTTAATGTGAAGACCAGAGCGCGCACCGTCCTCCGGTACGGCCCGTTAATGAGCCGGGAGCAGAGATGAAACGTTTCCCGCTCAATATTTTCAACCAGTAGGTGATCCATCTGAAAAACAGCAAAATTATCAAATTAGGGCCTTGCGTTGCATAAGGATTAGAAGCAAGAGAGGCTGGCCGCGCGCTCTGCTCTGGGGCCTCCATTAATCAACTGAAATTCAAGGACATCTACTTCCTGTCACAAGAGAAACAGGAAGAGCAAATTAATTCCACCCTGGCAATTAAGGAACAAGGCCATGTGCTTTGTGACAGGGACCTCATTCACAACCCCTGCCGGGTGGTAATATTTGCCATTATAACAGGAAACCGGCCTGAACTAAGCAACGGGCACCAGGCCCTGTGCTTTACCAACCAGGAAGCCGGGTCCAAGGATAATAAATCAGAGAAACGGTGCACACTTCCTTATTTCAGAAGTGCCTTCTGCCTTTGTGTAACAGTCTGGAAATGCTGGTCTGGACCCTGAGATGCGCACAATGTAGATTATAAGTCACAGTCACATTTCATATTCATAACTGACGATCACATTTTATATCCAAGGAGGAGGTTCCGAGGTAAAGGGGTCAAGGTCTCACAAACGAAGGGGTAGGGCTGGACTCAGACCTGATCCCAGAGTGTCTGTGCCTTCCCTTCAGGTCAGAGATACTCCCAGGCGGCTGAGTCTGGAAGCCGGACAGTGCCGGGGTGATCTGCCTCAGGCCCAGGCCAGCCTGAGGTCCCATAGTCAAAGCAGGATGGGACCTGTGTCCACGCGTGGAGCCAGGACAGGCTGCGGGACTGTTTTTCCCTAGGAATCGCACTGTGCTGGCTGGTTTATGTGAACTTGACACAAGCTAGTCGCCTGAGAAGAGGGAACCTCTACCGAGAAAAATGTCTCCATAAGATCAGGCTGCAGGCAGACCTGTAGGGCGTTTGCTTTCTTCTTTATTTTTCTTTTCCAAAGCAGGGTTTTTCTGTGAAGCCCTAGGTGGCCTCAAACTCAGAAATCCACCTGCTTCTGCCTCTTGAGTGCTGGGATTAAAGGTGTGTGCACCTGGCTGCAGGACATTTTCTCATTTTGTGATTAATATGGGAGAGCCCAGTCCACTGTGGGTGGTGCTATCCTGGGCTGGTGGTCCTGGGTTCTTTAAGCAGGCAGGCTGAGCGAGCCATGAGGAGCAAGCCAGGAAGCAGCTTCTCTCTCTAGTTTCTGCAACAGCTCCAGCCTCCAGGTTCCTGCCCTGCTTGAGTCCCTGCCTTGGCTTTCCTTGGTGGACTGGGATTCAGGATATGTAAGCCAAATAAACTCTTTCCTCGCCGAGTTGCTTTTGGTCACAGTGTTTCCTCATAGCAACAGTAACCCTGACTAAGACACACTGCTATGCTGGTACGTCAAGCTTAAGCACCCCCAAACCCTGCCTCCCCCAATATGGAGAGAAAACCTTAGTACAAAGGACTGAGAGTTCTTCAGGTTACAACAATGTCCTCGGTGTCCCTTGGTTAATGTCATAATATATTACAGTTCCCTTAGGAACAAGTTCTTCAAAATAGGAATACTTTTTTTTTTTTTTTTTGGTTTTTTCGAGACAGGGTTTCTCTGTGGCTTTGGAGCCTATCCTGGAACTAGCTCTGTAGACCAGGCTGGCCTCGAACTCACAGAGATCCACCTGCCTCTGCCTCCCAAGTGCTGGGATTAAAGGCGTGCGCCACCACCGCCCGGCACAATAGGAATACTTTTTATTTATTTAATCTAGGGTTTTGTGTGTGTGTATGTGCGCGCGCACGCGTCAGAAATTGAATTTGGGACCTTGCACATATGTCCTGCACCGAGCAACGGCCACAGCCTAGAACACGTTTCTATTTCTCACTTCTCTGTTCAATCCTTCCCAGGTATCTGATGTGGGCCACTGCGCCTGGATATGTTAGGGTTTCTACCAGGCACACAGTGTGGGCCACTGCGCCTAGATTGGCTAGGGTTTCCACTGCTGTGATAAACACTATGACCAAAGCAACTGGAGGGGAGGAAAGGATTTATTTGGGCTACACTTCCACATCACTGTTCCTCATGGAAGGAGTCAGGGACCTGGTGGCAGAAGCTGATGCAGAGACCACGGAGGAGTGTCGTTTACTGGCCTGCTCAGCTTTCTTTTATTACCCAGGATCACAAGCCCAGGGCTGACACCACCTATGGCGGACGGGACTCTCCCATGTCGATCAGTAATTAAGAAAATGGCCTACAGGCTTGTTCATAGGTTGATCTGGTGGGAACATTTTAGCCAGCACAGGTAGGTACCAAACTATGCAAAACTCAAAGATCAAGCAGGACACAAGGTTCAGGTCTCTAGCCTCAGAACTCAGGAGGTGGAGGCAGGAAGGCTGCACTTCAAAGAGGTGGGGCTGGGAAGATTTCAAGTCTGAATTCAGCTCAGGCAGCGCGGAACCTACCTGTCCAAAACCAACCAACCAAAACGCAATAAAAACATAAACAAATAAGGCCAGGCATGGCAGTACACACCTTTGATCCCAGTGCTTGGGAGGCAGAGGCAGGCAGATCTCTGTAAGTTTGAGACTAGCCTGGTCTACATAACAAATTCTAAGCTAGCCAGGTTCACATAGTAGCATCCTGTCTCAAAAATAAAATACAGATAAGAATAAATAAATGAAAGCACACTATGGGACTGGAAAGATAGTTGAACCGTTAAGAACACCTGCTGCTCTTGCAGAACACCTGGGTTTGGTTCCCAACACCCACATGGTACCCGGCTCCAGGGAATCCAATGTCCTCTTCTAGTCTCAGTAGGTACCTGAACACACATGGCACACATGGATGCACTCAGGCACACACATATACACACAAACAAACAAATCTTTAAAAAAAGAAAGAAAAAGCACACCAAAAATGTACAAAGGGTCACGTGACATTTGAAAGAATGGCCAACATAGGAGAGGCATGGAGGCCCAAACCAAAGAAAATGAAAACAGAAACTTCCTTAAGGACCCTGAGAAGGAGCAGATAAGAGGAGGAGGAGGAGGAGGAGGAGGAGGAGGAGCTGAGAGCAGGCACCTGTGTGGGCTTGCCTACAGATGCTCAGGAAACTGTCACTGGCTTCGCGCCTCCTGGGCCAGGAATGGAGTGTGCGCACTGTGTGCCACAGTTCTTTGGAAGCCAACTTCCTCAGGGTTTCCTGGGAGGCACCAAACTTGTCCTGAGGAAGCCCTGGGTCTGAACCACTTAGACAGGCTGTAACAGCAGCCCCTTCCTGGCAATGCCAGAGAGGTTCTTATCCTGGGTGAGTTAGGTTACTCACCAAATGCCTAGATTTATTTAGCCTAATGTGCAAGGAGTCTTTTTTTTTTTCCTTAAAAAGGAGTGGTTATCAAAGGAAGAGGGTTTCTCCGTTTATAAAACAAGTCAATGCCATTCTACGGGAATGAAGTTAGAAACACTAGGAAAAATCCTACAAGAACTTTGACATTCACGTAGCTGGATACTCACAATACACACCATTCAGCAGTCACTAATTAGGCCTGACTCTTCCCCTCTGGAAATTCACAGCCTAGAAAGAGAGGGCTTGTTGGTGGTGGCATACACCTCTGCCTCTTGGGAGGCAGAGGCAGGAGGATCCCTGAGTTCGAGGCAAGCCTGGTCTATAGAGTGAGACAGAGAAACCTTGTCTCAAAACACCAAAGAGAAAGAGAGAGAGAGAGAGAGAGAGAGAGAGAGAGAGAGCAAGCATATAACACGTGGCGCAATAATAGCCAGGCACGGTGGTCTATACCCTAACATTTAGGAGGCTGAGGCAGGAGTAGCTCAAGTTCAAGTCTAGCCTGAGCGTCACGAAAAGTTCATGTCAAAATACAAGCATAAAACAAAACAAATCCCAGACAAGGGACAGCATGAGGGGTGCTATGCCAGGGGTGTGAGGGAAGGCAGGGAGCAGCTTGTAGTTCTCATGCCTCTTGCTAAAGTCAGGCTGATCAGAGTAAAGAAATAAAGAAAAACATCCCTGCCATCTGTAAAGCGCATCAGGCCGCCCTGTGCAGTGTCACTGCACGAAATGACCCTAACCCGCTCGACGCCGACCCCAGGCCAGTCGGTCCTAACTTGGGGCTTTAGGAGAAAGATGAGTGCTTCTATCTGGCGAACGATCCAGAGTCCCTGGACTCTGAGAAAAAGAGGTTTTGCTGTGAGGTGTATATGTTGAGTGGAACAGGAAGGGGAGCTCCCCCAAAGTGAGGCAGTCACTGTGTGTAGTCACCAGCTTTTGTCCTTGTCTGCTTCACAGTCTCTGTGCGAGCTGGGTTTTCATCCAGGAGGAGGGAACTTCAGATGAGGGACTATCTTCATCAAACTGGTCTATAGGCAGGTGGGGGGGGGCATCTTCTTGATTAATGATTGGTGTGGGAGGGCCGGGCCCCATCCTGCTGTGGGGTAGTGCCACTCCTGGGCAGGCAGTCCTGGGTTGTTTAAGAAAGCAGGCAGAGCAAGCCAATAAGCAGGGTTCCTCCTAGGTCTCTGCTTCTGTTCCTGCCTCCGATTCCTGCCCTGCTTCCCTTGGGACTGCACGTGGAATGTCTAAGCCAAATAAACCCTTTCCTTGGCAAGCCGATTTTCACCACGGTGTTTATCACAGCAACAGAGGGGCAACTAAGACAGTCTCTTTCCTGGAGACTCTGTCGCTCCCTGCACCATGACCGCTACCAACTCTTACTGCTCCACACGTCTCAATCCAACCACAACTTGTACTTCTTTGAACAACCTAATCACCGCCTGGGAAGCAGATGGAACTTAGCATAGATAACCAAGGGGTGATACGGCCAGGAGCGGTGCTCACCCCCATAACCACCCCTCCTGTTTAAGACCTGTGCTGTCTTCTTGGTATTCTAAGCGCCTCTCAGGGTTGGAGACTCTGATCTGCTGACCCTATCTATTTGTGCCCATGGGTAGAGTGTGTATCATTCAATTATTCAACATCTAGAGTTGTTCAGTTCTGGGTGAACTGACTGTGGCTGGGGAAAGATATAAAAAGCAGCCAAGCAGTGCTCTCAGAGGAATGGGCTTGGTCAGAAAAG